GGGGGGGGGGGGGGGAAGGTCGCACCGTGGGGCAGGTCTGTGATGGGCAGAGTTCCGTTCCCAGGCTGGCGATGCTGGCAAGGGGGCGACGGCGCGCTGCTGGAGCCGGCTGGGTGTGAAAGCACCACGCACGCTGATTTCTAGAGAGCAGATTTTTCTCTACCGCTGTCGGTCGCATCCGTCTTGCACGCGGAGGCGTGAGGTCGTGGGGGGAATTTTCGTACAGAAAGATGAAGCCCCGAGTCGTGGAGAAGAGCAGTGAGCTGTGCAAGCACGTAAGGACGTTTCCCACGTTGCAAAACATCCGTGCACGGGGTTTGCAGCACCTCTCCCTCCTTCCCCATCGGGCAGCCGGGGTTCTGGCCGCCCTGGGGCACCGGTGGGGCAGAGGCATTTCAAGAGGACGCTGAGATGCTCCTGGTGTGGCCTACGGAGGTATCGTGTAATAGCTGAGCCGGCCACAGGGCTTGAAACGTCCTGATTTCACGCTGTTAAAGCATTATTACCTGAGTAATAACCATATAATGCTGAGCGTGGGGCCTCCAGCCCAGGAGACAGGCCGAGCACCCGTGCAGAGAGGCTCCCTCCTGCTGCCTTGCCCGCCTGGGTGGCTGTCCCCCACCAGGCACCTTACTTCTGTAACACGCTTTCTGCTTGGCGGTCCAATTAATGCTGGTGATAAGTAGGAAAGCTTGTATAAATGCTGGGCATTCGGAAAGCACCTGCTCTTGCACAAGCGTGCCAGCATAATTAATCTAACAGCCTAATTGCTGGCTTGTCCCTCTTCGGGAGGCTTTGGGGTTGTGTTTCAGCACGGGGATCTTGCAAGAGCACGCTTGCTGTATTTTTATTTTTATCGCAGCGTTGTTTAAAATTAATCGTTTGAGATTTCAGAGCTCTTAGCTCAGTTTTAGTTTTTGAGAGCTGGTGTTGCTACCTTTTCACCTTATTTTCCTCAAGCAGAGTGGTTGCAGCCTCATAAATGTGATGTGTCAAAGAACGAAGCAGTGAGGAGGAGGTAATAAGTGTATAATTAGGTGAATGACTTACTCGAGTGTATACAAGGCTGGCTATAACCCCTGACGAGGGCGGCACTGTGTGTGGAGGTGGGGATGGAGCACGGATGTAGGTACCGTGCTAGTACGGGGCTGGGAAAAGAAACCCTGGACAAAGCCAGCGAGCCAGGCTGCTGCAGCAAAGCATCCAGGCTGCCTGGCTGTCTTTCAATGGGTGAAGGTGGGATCTGGCTCGGGTGGTGTCCTCAGGATGCAAATAAACAGAGAATTTGGGCTCCAAACCCCAAAATCAGTTTAATCGGGACTGAAATCCCCTGGAGCAGAAATTTGTTGATGAAGCATTAGCACTCACCATTTTCTGGATAAAGCCCAGAGTGTGAAATGGTCTGAGTCCTGTCTGGTCCCACGGAGATTCCTGTAACCTGCAAGGTAGGCTGCCATTCATGTACTCTTTTTTTTTTTTTTTTTTTTTTCCTCCACTGTAAGTGTTGCTCAGAAGTTCAGTGCGCTCTGGGGGTGCTCACTGTTGGCAGAGCTCTCCACGCTTGTATGGATTTGCTGACTCCTGGGCACTGCCCGCATGCCTTACAGGCTGCCGGTTGCTCCGTGCCACCGTTGGAAATAGAGGTGTGTTGGGAGGTGCCTTGCAAACTGCGGGGGAGTGGCTCGTAAAAGCTAAGGCGTGTTAATGTTGTTGTCAAATACTGTTTTTTAAAGTAAGTCAGATGTTCAGGGTATCGGTAAGTCACTGAGTGGGAAGCAGCCTGAGAGAGGCAGGGTGGGACCGGACTCATGCTGATAGCACGGCTGGCTCCTCAGCGATCCCTTCCAGGCTGGGATCTGTCTGCCCCGTGCTTGAAAAACTGTTTGAGGAAACCCATGATGGCTCCGGTGTAGGAATGACTGATTTATGCCATCCACACCCTCCAAGTGATGTTTGTTTATTTGTCTTTAATGAAAGATTATAAGAGATTATCTTTTCCCTTATTACCTGCTGTTCAGGTTTTTGGTTTGTTGAAAGTCTAATTAACCTTCCTGCAGGAATGCTGATGTGAATGGTTTTATTTTTTTCTATTTTATCTATGTGCTGGAGCTCCTCTTAGCATCTTTTCTATGGCTTGGCACCACAGATAAAGCACTGGCAGTGTTAAGAGGTTTTGCTGGATGGGTTCCCTGTGAAAGGAATGGGGTTTGGGTAGCGAATAGAAAGAAGAGTGGGTTGTTCTAACAAGAAGTGAGCAGGGATTGCCACAGGGTGGCTGACAGACTATTGGGTAAGGCCAGAAATATTTCTCCATTTGTGTTCTGCTCAAGTGTCTGGACACTTGATTAGAAACATTATGGAAATCCTCTGCTAAAATTTCTCTCAGCAGAGTTAAATGACCCCATTAAAAAAATACACATCCCATTAGCAACATAAAGCCATAAAACACAGAACTGCCACCAGTGCAGAGAAAAGCTCCTTCCCTCAGTGGAGACAGACTTCCCAGAAGATGATGCCCTGCTTTGCTGGCTACTAAGCAAATAAACCCTGGAGTTCACAAGCAGGCTGAGGACGTTTCCATCCCCAAATAAAGATGGAGTTAAATGTCCTTTCTGTGCCTTGGCACAGGTCCTTGTGCAGCTCAGCGCAGCACCGTACCTCTCAGGTAGGAGCTGCTGGGGTGGGGGGCACCTGCAAGGGTTGCCTGCTTGATTCGGTAGGGTTTGGGCTGCTGAGGAGAAAATAGAGCTGCAGGGTCACACAGAAACATGGTCGTGGATGTGGATCTCTTTGGAGATCATCCAGTCCAAGCCCTGCTTGAGCAGGGACAGCTGGAGCTGGTTGCTGAGGACCATGTCCAGTCCAAGGAGACTGCACAACCTCTCTGGGAAACCTGTACCAGTGTTCACCCACCCTTCTTATGATTAAAAAGCATTTCCTATATTTCAGTGTGTGTCCTATCACAGGGGAGCACTGAGAAGGGTTTGCATCCATCTCCTTTGCTACCTCCCATCAGGCACTTACACACATGGATGAGATATCCCCAAGACATCTCTTCCCTGGGCTAACCAGTCCCAGCTCCCTCAGCAGAGGCAGCGCGTGTTTTGTCCAAAATAAAACTGTGCCCAACAGCACTGCCTTTGGGGGGAAGATGGGTAGAAGCTGCTGCTTTGGCCAAGAGGCAAGTGAGAGGCGCTGTGTGGTGCTGTCCCCTTGCCTGCTTCTCAAGGCAGGAATTTCTTTGCGCCCTCTGCGCACAAAGCCTCTGTGGGGACAGACCGTGCCACCGGGATCTTGGCACAGCTGCAGGGTTGGCTGGTCAGAGAGAAAATACCCTCCAGAGCCTCTGGGATTTTTGAGTCTTAGTTAATTAGAACTGTTCCCACGTTAAGGTCGGAGAGGCTGGGGGGGTCTTGTGCAGGGTCTTGGGTGGGAGGGCGTGGTGGGGAGCAGGGCAGGGGGCTGCAGGAACGTAGCAGGTGTGGCCTTTCATCCTCCCAGATGGGTGCTCACAGTTCCTCCACCCTAGCTGCTTAAATAATATCCGGTGTCTTTAGCAAATTTGTGTAAAAATTTAAATCAGATTTAAAAATCTGGTATCTTTTGTGGCAGCACTGCCTGGTTTGAACTGTGGCTTTCATGGCCAGGGTGCTTGCTAAGGTAAAAAACTCTGTCATCTCATTCCCCACTCTTCCTCTTCCTCCTCTTCCCCAGGCAGGACATGGGGCTGCAAGAGGGGATGCCACAGCAATGGGCACTTGACCCTGGGAAAGTAAAAGGAGGCAGCGTGATGCTGCAGTAGGTAACGCTGCCTTGCCTCTCCCTCCCTCTGCAGTAACAACAACCCCTACACCTCCTTTGGGGCCACACTGGCACGGGACGAGGAGCAGAACCTGTGGAGCACCCCGCACGATGTGACCCACACAGAGGCGGATGACGACCGGGTGCTGTATAACATGATCGTGGTCAGGAACCAGCTGGACAAGGACTCGGAGGTGAGGTGGTGCCGTTCCTCGTGCTTGGTTTTGCCGTAGACTGAGGCTTGGGGCTTTCAACAAAGGCTTCCCTCCACCCCAAAAATTCTGTAGAATATATATTTTCTAGTATAAAAAGAAGCTTTTTCCTCCTTTATAGGTAGCAGACACATCACAGTTAACAATACGTAGCTGAAGGGTGATTAATTCCAGGTACCATAGGCCTGGAACTGGCAGTAAAGAGGCAACTTGGAGCTGTGCACTGAAAAATGGACATTTCAGGGGGGGTTTGCAACAGCCAAAACAGAAACATTTCTGTAACATGGACGATTGCATGGCTACTGTTGAGTTTCTAGTCACTACAGTTATAGATCCATTCTCTGAATGCTGCACAGTTTAATAACTTGTAGTTAACCTAATTTGTTTGAACGCAGACTGTGTAAATTGTGTAAATGTACCTAATTGTTTGCAGGAATATACCAGTGTGTCAGTGTGGCCTATTAGCAGATGTGACCTTCTGAAACTGGTGTAATGCTGTGGTTTGCTATGGGACTCCTTGCATTTTTTGCTCAGCAATGTGTAACTTTGTCTGGGAAAGCACTAGTGGCTGCACTTTGTGAAAAGGCGTAGTGCGAGCCAGTTAAATTACTAGTCTTAAAGAATAGAGAAGGTGGGGCCTAATGCAGAGGAGCTAGTTCTTTCTTCTGAAAATAAAGGCTGGAGTTCATTTCCAAGAAAGAGAAATCTCTTCCCACTCTCTTCTTCCCTCTCTCGCTGCAGAATTGTGTCCACCATGCCCACCAGAAGAAATTGGTCTCCATTAGTGCTGTCCCTAAATATGTTCTTGGTTCTTCTGTAAACTCATGTGAAGCCTGACTAAAATGTGCAAAACTGTCCCAAGTGGTGTACACATTTAAGCTTGAATGAACAGTGACCCCTGGGTGACCCCTATGTGACACACACACCACCATCCCCCCCAACCCCATGGTGACGCTTTGGCCTTTATTTTAGCAGCCATTAAGCAGCTATGAAGACCCCAAAGTCCCCCAGCACGGCTCATGTAGGCATCAGGTCCTTTCATCTGCTCCCTCGCCCTCCAGGTTTGATGCTGTATCTGGTGTGGATGCATCTGTAGCCATCTCATCCCTTGAGAAGCTCGGGGATGTCTCTGGCAGCTGAGCCTAGAGAGCCGCCCTGAGCTGGGCTGTGCGATGCCCTGCAAGCACCTCTACCACCATCACCCGCAAACATGTACTGGTAGCACTGGGATCCCCAGCTCAATTTCACAGGCTGCTTTTTTTGTCTGATATTGCCCTGGTTTGGCCTTTCCGTGATCGGACTGGTGTTAGCCCTGCCTGCAGTGGCGTTTGCCCGGCAATGGCAGGGCCTGGAGCTGAGCTCCCGCTTCAGAGATGCATCAGGTTAAATACTCCTCTAATTGTTTATACAGCAATTATTGAGAAGCACAGAAGTGGCACAGCTCTTCGCGTGGAAGGGAAAAATAATCACTGTTACATAAAGGCTGTTTTGCAGCCCTGATTTCCTTCGCTAAAGCACTTCTGTGCAAAGCAGAGTTCAGTGGCCTGATTAGGAGCAGGCTATAGCAAATGGTGACACATTTTCTCCTCTCTGATTGCTTTTAAGACTTCAGAATGTTTGCATGAAAGCCTGGAGGCTTCATGTTTAATTTCAGCGTGATCCCACTTCATCCAAGAGACCGCAAGACTGTAACTCTTCTTCCTGTGACAGTCTCCTTAAACCAAATGCTAGCTCAGCTCTCACAAAAGAAGCCTTAAACTCCAGAGGTGCAGCTGACATCAAAATTACAATTTTTAAAACCTAAAAAAAGATAATGCAATCCTTTTATACAGCTGGCCAGAATCCCCATTTCATGTTTAGGGTGGTTGGTGTTTTTTTTGGTGGGGATTGAATTAATCGTGGCGTTTACAATAGATGCTTTTGTAACAACATTTTCATGGCTGCATGTAACCTTTACAGCTATAACTGAAGATACCCTCTTCCCGCCCCAGTGCTGTTTTCTTTACCTTGTGACTTAGGGAAGATAGGGAGCTTCATCCAGCCCAAACTGGCTGAAGGAAGTGAGGACGACGCTGTGCAGCTCCCGAGTTGTTGCAGAGATGGGTGTACTTGGGGGCAGCACTGAAGCTCCTCATTTCTGCCTGCACCCATTTGAGCAGCCTTTTAGCTTGATTTAGGGCTCATTATGAGACAGCCTCCTAAAGTTAGTATTATTTATAAAATGATAGCATAAGTGGATGGGCTGCTAAAAAGACATCTCCCTGGGCAAGGGAGAGTTGTGTCAGCCTTGCTGTGGTTACAGAGGAGAGCATCAGTTACGGGTGAGCAGAGAGCTCTCCTGTGCCTGCTTGTCCTAAACCCGATGTGCCTGCTTGTCCTAAATCCAACGCTTTCTCCCTGCCTTCAGCATATCCGTAGGGTTTTAACGGGTCTGAGCAGTCGCCGTGCCTGCCAGTGAAAAAGGAAAGCACAAAGAGCATGGGGCTTCCTCTCCACAACAAATGTAAAATTACATACCCTGTTTTTTTTATGCAGTGCAATTAATAAAAAAGCCTGGGGAGTACAACATGAGGCTGACTTTGAAGAAGGCCAACACACGATATGCTTGATTTGAATTATGGCACAGTGCCCTTTGCAGCTAGTGATTGCCAGCCTCTTTGCTGTCTCTTTTACAGCTGGGGAAACTGAGGCACAATATATAAGCCCAGCAAGCTGCAGCAGTTTCCAGCTGTGGCTTTTTCTGGGTGGCAGGACAGGGAGGGGCTTGGCCAGCAAAGACAACATTCCTGTGTTTGACCCTGGGTGCCGAAATGTCTCCTTACTCCAGTGAGCATTTTAAAACTAGGCTAGGTTGCGTTGCCCTCCCCTCCTTATGAGACTTCAGCCCTGAGAGAGAGAGGGAAAAAAAAAAATCTCATTGCAAAACAGCACTGGGCTGCAAAAGCCATAATCTACTCCTAAAGTCCCCGGGGAGCACGTGTGGATGCTGCAGGATGGGGGACAGAGGAACAGTTTTGTGTTTGTGAGTGCACAAGCATTATGAAACTGTAGGTTATTTTTTTCCTCTTGGTTAAAATGGGACTGAAAGGAGAACTTCTCCTTGTGTTTCTGTCCTTTCATTTAACAAGGAATTTTCAGCGTGCTGTGCACTTACTGTATGATTTGCCATTCCCCATTTTTATCTTAGCAATTTTCTAGCACAGGGCTTTGGAAGGATCCCAAAGAGCAGGTTACTCTGTGTCATTTGTGTTTTATCTGTATGGCACCACCTCGGCCTCAAAACAGTGTCACATTTTTCTTAATCTGGCTAACACACTTCTGCTTTCCTGGGTGTTTTCTTTGTTTTTTAAAATGGTGTTCACATAGTGACAAGGTGCTCTGGGCTTGTACAGGAGAAGTGGTGTGCCAGGATGCAGTGGTGACATCGGTGCAGTGCTGGAGGTCAGTGGGCACAGTCCGGGATGGCTCTCTCCTTGCCTGGGCACCTCTGGTGTCGTGGATCACTGTAAATAAATAAACCAAATTGTGCATGCGAAGGGAGAGGTGCTATGACACCGAGTGCACCCTGTAGCTCAGTCAGTTTTCTCTGTCATTCGTGGTGGGCCTACCAGCAACTCACAGTGTTGGTGTCCTCCCCCGGGGTCCGTTCCTTGCCCCTGCCATGGGGCTGGACCAACATTTGATCCACACGGAGATGTTTCTTCTCTCTGCCCCTTCCCGATGCCCCTGCTCTGGAAAATCTGGCGGCTCCAGCCCAAACTCGCTGTGACCTTAGCTTGTGTAAGGATGGCAGGGTTGCTCCACCCTGCTCCTCGCGGAACCAGGGCAGCAAGTTCTTCAAAGCAAGAACCAACCGTGACGTCCCAGGTGTGCTCTGTTTCACATCCCGCTCGACGCCATGTGCTGGGAGTGACAGCCCATGGGGCTGTGGGCCGTGGTGGAGCCTGTTGGAGCACTCAGCAGTTGCCAAACCCACTGTGAAATAGGTAGATGAGGCAAGATTTGCTGGAGCCTTCTCAAATCGTAGGGACTGAGCGACTTGCAGCTTTGCATTTCTCTCTGCTTGAGGCCAATGAGCGCCATGTGCTTGGATGCACTTTTGGAAGTGTGGGCAAGGGAGGGTGTGTGCGGAGAAAACCAGAAAAGCTGTAGCTGAAGGGGGCTGGTAAAGCTGGTGCATCTCTTTGGAGATCAAAGCTGTCAAAGCTTTTGAAAGCTGGGGTCAAATATGGAAGAAAATGCTTTTTTCTTGCTCCTGCTCTGCAGCATTGTTGAACCTGTTTGGGTATAAAGTAAAACCCTAAATCTGGAGGTGAAATGAGCACCTCTAGGAAAGCAGGATGTTGTTTAAGATGTTGCAGATACAGGCCAAGTCACTCCTTCAGCATGTACACTGCTATTGCGGAGGAAAGCATTTTATGGGGAAGGGAGGGGTTCTGTAGCTCCGGCAAACCTCCAGTGTTAACAGCAATAGCTGCACTGGGCTCATGTCTTGGCTTATGTGTGTGATGTGGCAGATAACCCCCTCCGTGAGGTCCCCTTTATGGTGGCCCTGGTGCCTCAGTGTCTGATGGGTGCACGGAGTTACCCAGCCACAGGCAGAGAGCCTGAGCTGTTGCACCACTGCTGGCTTCAAGAGGAGGAGCCAGGTTTAGGGCAGCTGCGCCACAGGCCTGCGAACAGAAACTAAAGGTGAGGTTTTGCATTACGACCAAGGAAAAAATACTGTTCTATGGCTTGTTGTAAATGCAGTGTTTCTTTCTTCTTTTGGCTTATTCCTTTGGGGAAGGTGGTATCATAAACCCACTAGCAATGGCATTTCCTCAGCTTGCATCTCTGCTAGGAGCCTGGCTAGCAGAGCTATGCTGGCATGACCCTCCTGGCAAGCCCATTAATGAGCTGACAAGGCCTATTTTTCTTACTCCTGCTCTCCTACAGGATTATTCTTTTTTAAACACATTACAGAGAAGGTCAGTATTGCAACACACTGTTGCTGGAGCATAAAGAGGTGATGGGATTTGCCCAGGGTTGGGGATTCTGCTTGGGAAGCCCAGAACTGACCCACTTAATACATATGAAAAATGACTTCTGCATGCCTCTCTTAAAACTGAGTCCAATTTAAATGTTTTCTAAGCTGAGATATCGTCGATGGTTCAATGTATGAGTGTGGGGATCTAGAATTTGTATTTACTCAACTACTCCCAGTGGGTCCAGTCGCAGAGCCAGAGTAGGAGCATCCCTGGATGTGGTGTGGTACCTGCCTGGACTGGTATTTTGCAGTCTTTCCCTGATAACTCTGTTTTGACCTCATTTCCAAAATAACTCTTCAACAGAACAGTGACACCAATTGCTTTCAAGGGAATCAAGGAGAAGGCTTTGATAGAGGATTGCTTTGGCAGCATGAGGAAAGCTACCTACTAATTAGGAAATTTCCATATGAGCAGAGATGAAAAGTTGGACAGTGCTTGCCTGTTCTCTTGGCACATTTTTTCCCCGAGCTCTCAGTTATATGCCAGCCTGGCTTATATTTCATGCCCAGCATTTCCCCACTTCCATGTGGCATTTGCAGATTTAGTATATCGTAGTGGAGAGTGTGGGGAAGTTTTCCAAGTAAATATTTGAAGGGCTGAGCGTTCAGAGGAGAGAGACGGCAGAATTTTCCTGGTGCTCGCAGGATATTCTTGACTCATGCACAAAGGGTTTTCTCAAGCCCCCACTGATATATGTTGTGCCTTGCTATGTAGGTTTAAAAGGGCAAAACTAGTTCAAAAAACCAGGGCTGGGAACTGCAATGAGCTTTGGTTTCCTGTGGTTAATTGAGATTTTGGCAAAAGGGTATTTTTCCTTAAAGAATTGGTTTTGAATGCATTGTTGGGGTGTCCCAGACCACAGAAACACCAAGGGGTCCCATTGACCTTTCCCAGTACTGTGTGCAAAAAGCCTCCTCACCGCTCCAGAAGTTCGATCTAACTTTGCAAGAGGCATGACAGGGAATGGATGTGCACAGAAGATGCAAAACGAAGCTTAAGTTTTGGGAGAGAGCTGCTTGTCCCATGGCTGCATACAGGCTCGGACACCTCGCTGGAAGGGGTTGCGCGGGGACCTGTCACACCCGCAGTGGGGTTTGGCATGGAGCCCTGGCTGCCTGCCCCCGGGCAGCCCTGCGGCGGGTGCTGAGCAGCCTCGGCCTCGTGATGCCGCACGGCCCCGCCGAAACCCGAAACGGAACAGAATGCTCCCTCCACGGGTCACGTCTTGGTGACTCACGGGATGTGCATGGGCAACACCCTCCCCAAAGTCTCTGATGTTTCCCATTCCTATGCATGGGGAGGCTCTGCTGTGTAGTTGAAGGGAGATGCTTTTTAGAATAATTTTGGGGGTGGAAAGATGCCTTTAACTTATTTTCCTCATTAAAGCAACACAGAAGACAACCTCTTCCCCTGCCCACAGCATTTAGGATGCCTCTGCTACAAGGAATTGCCTGAGAAGACTTGGTAGTTTCTGAGGCTGATGGAGAGCAGGTTATGAGTCCCTTTGAGAGCTCAGCCCATAGCTGCCCAACCCCATCCTGATAATCTCTGCTGTCTCTAGTTGCTTTTCAGTGACAGGCACCATGTGCAGCATCCCCCCAGCTTTCTCTACAGAAATATAAGTGCATCCAGCTCCATGCTCCAAGAGAAAGAAATCCCACTAAACAAGAGATTCACCCCCAGGCACCACTGTTAAGCGTAATTTTCTGTACCAAAGATGCTCCTTTGCATGCTTCCCAAATTCTTCATCAACAGAACACTGTTGGAGGTCCTCTGAGACTAAATATGCACTGTTTTCACTTCCATAACGTAACACAGTAACTACGATGTAGAAGAAAGCCATAACCTAGATTCCCTTCAACCAAAAATAGACAGGGGAAAACAACACTGTTGTTAATCTAGAGAAAATCAAGAGCAGCTTCCCCGCATGCTAAGCACTGCTTGCTGTGTAGCTGAGAGAGAGGAGTCTGGCTCGCTACTATGGGGGGTAAATCCCTGCAGCCCTGAAAGCTGCTGCTGGGTGCCAGCGAGGCATGTTTTAAAGACAGAAACATCTTTTCCACCCCTCCCAGCTCGCTAATTCAGCAGTGTGAAGCATGCCTGGAATCAGTGGTCATCTCGATCGATCGTCTGCATTAAAGCACTAATTTATCTCCGCAGGAGGGCAGAGACACGCAGTTTATTTCCCCACCAGCATGCCCAGACTGGTTTGCTGTCCTTTAAATTCATACCATGGGGTCATAAGCGGGCTGAGATGTTCCAAGAGATCCTGTCAGCGGGGAGCAAGGCATTGTGCAGCCTTTTAGTCTCTTTTTAAAAACTTTCAAGTTTGCAGTAAGGTTCCCACAGAGCTTTAATACAATACAATCCTTTTCTTTTTTCACTGAGAGGCGCTCAGTTCCTAGCTACGAGCTGGTGTCATGGGAGAGGAGAGTCTTGCCCTTGCCTCCTGTCTCTCACAAAGGGCTGAAGAGGTCTTTGATGCCTTGTGCTGGCAGCCAGGTGCCCTCCTGTGGAAACAGTGAAGTTATTTTCAAGTACCACTGCAGTCATGAGAGGAACATGCCTCTGATCAGCAGAGCTGGCTTGTTGTGAGCAGCAGCACAAAGCTAAAAATGAAGGGGATTTTGCTCTTCGGGAGGATGAGTGACACAGAGCAAGCGGCTGCAGGCAGAGTTGCATTTCCCCACCTCTCCTGACCTGAATCCACCAGTGTCTTAACCCCACTGGCTGCTTCTTCCAAAGCGTTATCTCCAAGGGCTCCCTGCAGCTATCTCTGAACAGCAAGAAAACAGGCTCGTCATTAAATTCTCTGCAGTTGTGGCATATCAGCCAGGTTCAGGAAAAAACCACTAAGAAATCTCCAACTCTTTATTGAATCAAGTCTTTAAGGCACCAGGTATCAGAAAAACAGTGGGATTTCTAACACACAGCTGATCTTGATGGGTATCATTTAACCCCTTTGAAACCAGCATGTCACATAGGAAAATCCCAGGGAGATGGCACAGATTAACACCCGTTTATTCTACAAGAGTCCGTCTATGTAATCTCTTGCTCAGAAATGGTATTAACGAAGGTTGTGAGTGCAGGGAAATTATCTGAGTGGTGCTATGATCCACTGTGTGGATGCTTCTGTAAATGCACCCTTTGCAGTGTGTGCATTGGTTAAACTCAGCTAGGAAAAGGGCTCCTGGTTTTCTTGCAGAATACGTGCTTTTCCGCAGACATGCATGCTCGTACAGGTGTGTTTAATAGTACTGGCATAACTTTAATAAATAACCTCAAAACCTTCCCTTTTAGGCAGTGTGCCATTATGCAAATAAAAAGCTCGAGGTCAAGTTCAAGGATTTAAGCTCTATGGTTAAGTGAGGGCAGTCACTAATAGTTATTATGTCAAATGACTTCATCTCAGCTCTCAACCATGCATGTGCATCCCTCTTCTCTGCTATTTAAAACTGGGTACCCCAGCCTTTAAAAAAAGTCTGTTTTTCTTGTTTTGCAGTGCCTGCTCCAGTTAAATGCCAAAGAGAGGGCAGAGCAGTTTGGAGAAGCCATTGCATGTGTGACCATACTGAGAGCCATAACTTTTTTTCAGACTTTTAGTTTCCGATGGACTGCCATCAGCTGTAAGAAAATGTGCCATGCCAGTTTGACTGCAAGGGTATGAAAATAAGGCGTTGCAATAGTTAATAGAAGGTAATTAGTAATATGTGGTCTTGCTTTCCCAAGCTGCTAAAGGCCAGATAAGGTATTTTCAAAACCTCAGGTTTTTATATTAGCAGGAGTGTCAAGGTTTGGAGTAAAGGGCTTTGGACCAAAGACACTGAAGTCTCTCAGGTGAACTGCATTTGGAAGTTCATGTTCTCCAGCCTAGGACAGCATTATCTTTTCCAGCACAGAGCTGGAATTATATTCTCCCTGTCTGACTGAGGAGACCACTTTGGTCATCAGCAATTCCTAAGCTAAATTCTGTAATTCCATTTCAAGGTAACTGGAAGCCTGTTTTGTACATGCAGAGAAAATACAGAGATGCTGTACCAAATGTCAAGCTAAAATATTCTACACTGGTCAGTGTAATTTCTTCAGGGGCAACAGCAGCCTGGTCATCAACCTTCACACCAATCCCTCAGTGCCAACATCAACAGTTCAACTCTGGCTCCGTTTCTAAAAGCTGAAATTCCTAGAAAAGCAGCAGAGACCTCCCCGCATGCAAATGATTGAGTATGTCTTATCCTTTTGCTTTGCAGGAATGGCAAAAGCTCAACTATGATATTTATACCTTACGGCAGACCCGAAAAGAAGTGAGAAGCAGGTGGAAACATATTCTGGAGGATTTGGGTAGGCTAGAGGACAAAATTATGTCATTTGTGTGATACCAAATGAAAGGTCCCATGATGGTTGAGGATGGGAACAGCTTCATAAAATGAGGCTGGTAGAGGAGGGAGGGAGGAAGATAAAACAAGGTTGCTGAGCAGTGCCGTCAGGTAGCCCACACGGCAGTTGAGGCCCTATGGGAGGCTTCCCAGAGCTCAGGCACGGCTGGGAGGAGACTGGGCCACCATGTCTGAAGGAATGTCAAAAAACCCACGAGCCACAACCAGCGAGAGAGCCTTTCAAGCCCATAATAGCATGCACACTCATCTGTTTCAAGCTTCCTTGTGCAAACTTAGCAGGGAGTCCTGGGAGTTCACCCTGGGTTTTTCTAAACAAGATAAGCAGGGAGAAATGAATATTCCTTTCAGATCTGAACACAGATACATCTATTTCCCTTCCTTAGCCCATGCCAGCTGATCAGATTTAAACCACACACTTTGTTTGCTCCTATGTGAATTTGAAATATTCTTTCACCAAATGAAATTGCTCAACAGTGGCCCTCCTACTCCTGCTATTTCCTAGCCTGCAAACAGTGAACTGCACCCATTGGTCCTGTGTGCTCAGCTGCTGCTCTTCGGGAGAAGGCAGTGGCGGGTGTGACCTGGTTTTCCCAATGGCATTGCACACAGCGTGTGACACTTGTCCCAAGGAGACGTGCCATACTGACACACCAGCTTGGTGACTTGCCTCATGCTGTGGAGGGGTGGTTGGCAGCTAACGAGAGGAGGGTGTGCGAGTCGAGCACGCTTGTTGGGCTGTTCAAGGAGATTATCACTGGGAGCAAAAGGAGATGGGTATCTCGGCCACTCCCGCCCTACCTGCTGTTCTGCCATTGGGATGGGAGGAACATTGTAAATAACTGGGTATCAGCATTGATCTTCACCAAGGTACTCACACAGCCTGTACAGACCAAACACAGGAGGGATCACTTGTCATCCTTACATCTCTTACTGCACATTGACAAAGGCTCTACCACATCTCCCTCACGTCCGCAATGGCTCCGGAGCTGTTTTGCAAAGGGTGGGGAAGCTTAAGGCCAGGGATCATTTGGTCTTAGTGAAGCTGGGTGTGCAACCAGGTGTGATGTGAAACCTGCTATCTTCTTTTATCTAGACCTGTGCTTTAATTTGAAGACCAGCTCTCTTTACCCTGTAAGTGTTTTCAGGTGAGATGCATCAGCACCGGCTCCCTGGAGCTGAACAAAGAATTAATGGTAGTCATTACATTTAAAGTCTCTGCATTCATTCTGCTCAGAGGCTGACTGCTACAGGAACAATTACCCATGCATTTGTTACTGCCTCAGGCTTTTTATCACTGATACCTCCCAACAACATAGAAGTGTAGTGGCTGGGGTGCTCAGGAAGCCCTACCAGCTCTGAAAGCTTTGGCAGCATCAGGAACATGAAAGAGCTGAATCAACACCCTGGGTGTGGACGTTCCTAAGCCTTCTCTGGAGGACTAGCAACTAACTTGCTCTGAATGCTTTTGTGACTTTTTTCCCCACCAGCAAGCTTATACCTGCCCCAAGTGCAGACACAGAGCCTGCCTAAGGGAAACATCAGTTGGTTTTAGCATTAGGTAGTGCAGCAGCCCAAGGTGGAGGGGGAATAAGGAACCTTACAAGAGCCTGGAGGGCCCAGGGATGACCCTGCTTGTATGTTTGACTCGTTTCTGTAACACATTTCTTTCCCAGGTTTCCAGAAGGAAGTGGACTCCCTCTTGTCAGTGACCAAACTCAGCATCATTAGCGACTCCCAGAACATGGGCAAAGCCCGGGACTTCCTGCTAAAGCTGGCTGAAGAGACAAACATCTTCCCGACCAGCTGGGAGCTTTCTGAGCGCTACCTCTTTGTGGTGGTGAGTAGCTCCAAGCGTGCCTTCCTCCCCACTGCCCCCATCTCTGCAAGTGAGCTCAGACAAAGGGGAGCGGGTAGCTGAGTTGCATCAGAGGACGCTCAAGTACATGGTGGCATCTGGGGCAGCCCCGTCAGATGTTGTACCTTGGCTGTTCAGCTTCCTTGGAAATGTCAGCGCTGTAGCACCAGAAATTTGCCCCCCTGAGTTCCTTTAAGTTTATGGAACTGAGTGCTCTTGCAGCCTGTTAATGAAGCAGGAAAAGATTAGACCTGGCTTAACTTGAGAGGAGGGAGGGACCTGGAGGATGTGGAGGGAGGACCCTCACCTGGTCGCTGCCCAAAGCAGCCCACAGTGACTGTAAAACCCTGTTGCTTTGGCAGGATCGGCTCATAGCTCTGGACGCTGCAGATGAGTTCTTCAAGATGGCCAGCGTGGTGTATCCAAAGAGACCCAGCAAGGAGAGAGGGGACGATGGACAGAAGGCCCCACAGTGTATCTCTGCCATGATGCCCTGAGGAACATGACCCACTGGTGTGAGATGGACAGCAGGTTTCCTTCCCTCTGGGACCAGGCTCCTCTGCTGGGGGGTTAGTGCAAGTAGTGCTGCTCCTTGTTTTCCTGCAGAGAAGCAAGTGGGCTGACTGGTGCAAAGCGAGGAGGTCAGCGAGCTGTGCTCCACCGGGAGGGCACGGGAAGTCCAGCGCTGGCCCCAAGGTGCTCCCAAGCAGAAGGCAGCAAGAACTTGCAGTAGCGTAGCCCCAGTGGGAGACCACTAGCTGAGTAGTGTGTGCAGTAGGCATGGGGGGAACCCACCACGCAAGGCGTTGACTACCAGTAGCTGCAAAAATCAAGATGCCTCTTGTTACAAGTGCTGTGAGGAGATGCGTGTTTCCATCTTCTGCTGGTACCTGCCACTGTCCCCTCCCTCGACCCTGCTTGCTGGGAGGAGCAGCAAGGAAGGAAAAATACCTCAGTCATCTACAGTCCCATGACATTTCTCTGCTGGTCCTCTTCTTCATCCCCAGCCCATGGCAGCCCTGTGGGGCAGGTTGCAGGGGATTTGGCAAAGAGGCAGCAGCAGTGCGTAGTTGGGAGACGAGTTCGTGCTGGGCAGCAGAGCCTTGGGGCAGGGTCACGGTTGGGTGCTCTGTTCCCAGCCATTCGTGGTTTAGAGGTGTTTGTGTCGGGGTGTGCTCAGCCTGACATTTTAAAAGAAGGTAGATTTTAGGAGGTGCCAATGTCAGACCTGCTGAGAATTTGGCTCCTGTAATATCCTCAGATTGGTTGCCTAACATCTTAATACATTTCTAAAAGTTTTGGTCTCAATTGCATAAAAAACCCCACACTGTAGGGGTGTAAAGCTGCATGTATTGTCAATATATACCATCCCTACTGTTAATGAGGATTTTTAATGAACATCCTTTATATCTTGGGGTTTTGACTGATAACGAGCAATAATTTTAAAACACTGGGTTTGATCTTTTAAAAACAAGTGGAAGTTATTCACTAGGTTAACACGTGCTGTGAATTGGCCAGTTGAAAATGCTGGTTACATAGGACCTCCTAAAATAGCAAAACAGAGCTTTTATTTGTTTATACCTACAGTGTTTGAAAGATACATATTTATGAGTTGTTTCTGTTTGTCAGTCTACCTGGGAAATGTTTTTGTCAGCTCAGGACACCAGTGAAAACTGAGTTTAATAAACCAGACACATTACAAAATGAACGTTTCTTACTCTCTCTGTAACCCTATTCAGGCAGCTACATTTATCTTGACTGCTGAGAGCAAAAGGGTTGGGATAGTAGAGGATACACCGCTGTGGCTTGTTCTCCACACACAATCACCCACTTACTTGCAGGAGTCAGGTCATTTGCCAGCCTAGCACTGAAGTCTTTGTAAGATTTGGAGTTAGGTGCCCAGTTCCCATTTATTTATTTATTTATTTATTTATTTATTTATTTATTTATTAGCAGCAGTTCAGCTGCACTTTGGAAAAGCTCCCCTGTTTTTATAGAAAATAAACCAGCACATGGCAACTCCAGGGTTCGACTTGAACAAACTCTTGCAAAACAGAGATCCGGTGGTCAGAGGAACACTGTGCCAAAGTACATGACACAACCCCAAGGTCAGCCCTTGGGAAGTTATCGCTTCATAGTACTACATGTTATGTGAAACCACCTGAGGAGTTCTGAAGTCTCATGGGCAAGAACAAGCGATCTTGTAGCTGTGGTACTGCTTGTTTTGGTGACAGAGGTTGACATTAAGCAGTGCCTTTGCAAAACCACCCCTTCTGTTACTTGTAGCTGTGAAACCAGTTCTGATGTCAACAAAATACATTTTGTTTTAACTTAATAGAACAGAAACTGCCTAAAAGGGAAAATAATTAGGATCTCTGAATGAGTTTAGCTACTGAAGTCGGGCTCTGCAGGGAAAGCGCTGAGTTTCTGAGCACAGCCACAGGGAGGAGCAGGAATAACGGCAGCATGGATCAGCACAGCTGCTCACTTCTGCCCAGCAGGGAGAAGTAACCAGGCTCAGGAACTTGTGCATCAGATTATGTACCGATCACAACATGAACAGAAGAAGGTGTGTCAGTCCCAGCGCGCAGATAAAACTGGTCACGGATAACATGCAAATATTACAAAACAGCCTTTTGTTAAGTATAAAGATGCAGAACTTCTGAAAATCTGCAACTTGAAAAATTACAGAAACCAGCAGAAATTGTTTCCCTAGAGGTCCAAACTCAAGTTTGTCATGCTGTTCATCTCATTAGGAAATGTCCTGTCTTTCATGCACTTGAGGGAGAAGACTGATAAACTGTATTTCAATTAGCAAAATACAGAGACTAATTTGCCTTTCCTCATTTGCATAGCGGATGTGCAGGGAGATGCACATCTTTGGTTTGCTCAGATTTGGGCTTCTCTCCTGCCAGGAGAAGGAAACACAGCTTAGTTTGTCTCCAAGCAAGCCTCTGGCTGTGTCTGAGGGACCAGCAGTAGAAGCCTCTCTACCTGGAACCCAGAGACAGCACATACTCACCAAGGTTCAAATACTGCCCCATTGCCTATTGACACTGGCCTGCCAGAGGTGTTTAAAAGATGTATTTAGACTCTAACAGTGGAAAAAATAGCCATGTCTGTACAGCAGACACAGTAGGACTATCTTTAATGGCAAGTACAAAGATAGGGAAAGAGGCATAATCGTCTATCTCGGTGAAAGTCATTCCAGATTTTGGGCAAGTTAAAATCACTGGTGCGGGAAAGGCTTCTGGGCAGCACTTGCATTTTGGGTCTCAAATTGAGAACGTGAGATTAAACTGAGGAGATTTTCAGATGGTAAAAACAAATCAGACACACAAAGTCGAGCATCACACCCTGGAGCTGTTGCAGCACAGACTGAGTGTCATAGGCCCCTGGGTGTGGACAGGCTGCCACACCAAACAGACTAGGGCACCTCAGTAGGCAGCAAATTCCACTCCATTGAGAAAGATGGAATAAAGATTTCATAAAATACATAAATCTCAAACAGAATCCAAGTCAGAGGTGCCCTGGTGATGCTGCATCCCTGCCACGGTTCTGGGTGGGGGGAATTCATTCCCCAACAAGAGTGATTACCTTCTTCACTAGAATCATTTTTGGGTTTCTCTCGTTTGGTGCACCATCCAGACCTCTAGCTGCCATTCAGACGGGCTTGAGACTCCTCTATGACCTGTACCATGACTGGACGCTTGTACAGACATCTTTGGTGTCCTACAGGTCTCAGGTGCCACTAGATACCTGCCTGTGGGGAGCCAAATCCTGCCCAGCGAAGCGTGCCGGCATCCACCTGGGAAGCGGTGGCTGTAGGACAGCCCAGCGAACACCAGATGCCACTGTTCCCTTAGCCATGCTGCAGCGTGCTGAGGGAAATCATGTTTACAATGCAGGGGAAATTTTTCCAACCTTTTCATGCATGCATCAAGTCTCTCAAGCCTGCAAGAACTGGCTTTCTGTTAAAGGTTGGGGTCCAGATATTTAATAATTGCTCTGGTGCTTTCCAGCAGACAGTGGCAAGCCCATCTCTCTCAGAAGTTTGCAGCGCTGGAGCCAGGGCCTCTGCTCCTGCTTGGAAATGCCAGGCATGGGGCTGGCTGCTGCAGGAATCAGCATGTTCACTAAGAACATTTATTCTTCTAAATAGAGGGTGACTTTGGTACCCTTTCCTTAGCCAGGAAAGGAAAAATACCAAGAATTCTTTAAAATGAGCAATGCAAGAGGATTTAAAGTACATCTGGGTTCACTTGGCTTTCAGATACTTTTTTTTCCTCAACTTTGTATTTAATGAATATTTTAACTGGAAGGAAGGAAAAAAAGGGGGACATTTGTCTTCCATCCATAAGCCATAGACATGTGCCACTCAGGTTTCTTTTTCCTAAGCCACAGGAGAAGCAGACACAACTAGCACAGTTCATGTGATAACTTGAAACAGATAACCACTGGGTATGAATTAGGATAGCTTCTGAGAAGTGAGAAATCCTAATTTATACCAACTGATGGTCTAAGCTTTGTCTTCCACCAGCACATTTTGGCTATTTCAGACATTGCCTGTATCAGTCAGACTGTTGAGACACCTGGAAAAACACTTATTCCTAATCGGTGGCCAATATGTTGGTTTAACAGTGGCTGAGCAAAGTACTTTAGTTTTTGGGGTCACGGGGAGGGACATTGTAGAGTTCCCTTCCTCTAAATTAAAGCTAGAAATTAGGTATAGTGCAATTGTAATCCATAATATAAACTGGCTAGAAATGAAAATCACCTTACAGACTGTCTTGACCGTGCATGTGCACACATGATTTCTTCTTTGTGTTCCAAGCTTTCCAAGGACATACATCATGAATTCAGCAGGATGAGAAACAAAAAGCATGGTAGAAATTTAGCTGTGAGCTGTAGGACAGGCAGAAGGTGGCAGTGCAGGTGTTTGGTAAAGGCTGGAGCAGCAGCAGGCAAAGGAGATGGGAGGTAGTGGCCTGAAAGGAGTCAGGCTTTTCATTTTACTTGCTATGGATGTAAATTAACTGTAAGTTCTGATAAATAACAAGAATGGACACGGGAAAGAAAACTATCTTCTTTTAAATTTCAGCTATAGGAAAAATTACCATTTCAAACTCCTCAGTTTCAATGATTTCTCATGTTAGAAATTCCAACACTTACACACTCTTCCTGCGGGAAAAGCATGTACTTTTCTAATCTAATGAGGATCAGGAACATCGAGCGACTTACCACAAAATAGCTCTCCAAAAGCATTTCTTTGAAGGCAAACAACCACTTTTGCATGGGGAGTTCTTGTTAGGCAAGTTATGGATTACAAATCGCAGACCATGCCGACATATCCGTAGGGGAGCTGCCCTTACACAAGGAAAGATCTGCTCACTGGACTGCTCCTAAATCCCCTAAAATGAGATTTGCATAGACAAGAGCTTGGTCTAATGAAATGTACCGTCTCTCCCCATAAGCCTTATCCTTACCCTTTAAGGAGAACAGTCATTTTTCAAAGTGGTAATGAATTCAGGTGACTATTTTGTCTTAGGTGGATTAGGAGAAGATGACACCACCGAGGCTCTGTGGGTACCCTTGACATGATAGGATCACAGTAGCATTAAAATAAGCAGATGTAGGCAGTCAAGCTAAAGAGGTAGAGCCATACCAAAGCACAGACAAGAGGGCAGCAAATGGAGGCAAATCAGCACAGCCCAGCCAGTGCCCAAGAAAAGGAAAGAGTATTTGGCAGGTGGAGAAGGTTCTGTGCAATGGGTACACTGTCGGTGCCAAAATATGTTGTGATGGTGCAGCAGAGTGTGTCACCCAGGTAGCACCAGCAGGATGAAATGTTTGTGTATGCCTGAATAACCATCGTTAAAACCCTGGTTGATGAGAGCTCACCAGCAGATCAAAGAGATAGATATTTACGAAAAGATGTGTTATCAAAAGTTTATCCTTTCAAGAGTGGCAACTTTATATCTGTTAAGCTGCTGGGATTCTTTCCATTGGCTTGAACTGGGTTTGAGTCAGACTTTGGAGACACAAACACCACAGCAAGTCCAGACATCACTGAAGTCAAAAACAAAACTCCTGCCAGCTGCCCATCTATTTCTCTTCTGCATCAAAGTCTCAAAAATAACAAGTATGGTTTCTGAAAAGATTTCCACAAGTGATGAAAAGATCTACCTGTACTTTCCTGAAGGAAGAAAATGAAGCCCAAAAAATTGTTTCTCCAAAGGATCACAGGGAAAATTCAGGTCAGAGGAGACCTCAGGAGGTCATCTCAGCCAACCTCCTTCTTGCTTGAAATAGTTTCTCCCCTTTTGAAAATGGTGCAAGCAATTTCTATGGCAAACACTACTGGCATACACAATATTTCACCTAGCCAAAGAAGTAGTGGTTGGTACAAAGGAAATATATTAAACTTTTCTTTTTTTTTTTTTTTTTAATTAAAAAAGTGAAATAGAAAATTTGTGAAGATCATCTGGAAGGCAGGTTTGGAACAAATGAAATTAAATACTCCTTTGATACCTCTAACTCAAGTGACAGGGGGGGTTAACTCTAAACATGCGTTTCCATTCTTCTTTAGGTGAAGGAGCCAGATAGAGGAATGATGGGAGCCCTGAGCCATGCAGGGTGACTCATCCTGCCTGGGACATGCCCAGCAGCATGATCTGGTTAGCAGGGAGCCAGCAGCACCCACAGAGT